GAGAACAGCAACAGATTGGATTTGTAGGCTAGCAGAGGGTAAAATATGCATAGGCTGCAATTCCTCTACTATCACACGCATAATCTTCATAATAACGTCTGCACTCATGCAAATATTCGCCCTTCGTCTCATGATCTGTCGAGTAGATATTTCCAAATTGTGACTGATGGCGATCTAACCGTGTTTTAAGTAAAAATACAGCCTTTTGTTTTTGTAACAGACTCTGGCATTTCTGAAATCGGCAACTGATATTTTTGATGGAAATGTGGATATCTAGCAAGGACGAAGTCTACGTATGTCTGAAAGTCGGATCCAATGTTGACATATCCTGAGTGCACGTTTCCAATTAACGCCAGACAAGCCCCGATGTAGTCCGTGTGTCGATCCAGCGCATCTAATGCTCGGCCGGTTTTAGGGACGCTGCCATTGTTCAGTGACGTACACACCCAACGATTGCGCACGCCACTGACGACCTGCCGCCAAGGTCATCTAGGGGTGCTTCTACTCGCATTCAGCGCTCGGCCATCTGGCGAAATCTACGTGCACGGACTGCGATCGATGCATGCTGCGTCATTTGACTGTCCACCTGATACGCAACAAGAGGCCGGGCCTTCCCACGCAGATAGTGCCGATTCAGTTTATCGTATCTCTGTTTGCAAGCAAATCACTAACCAGGGTTATGTTTGAACATGCGTTTCCTTAAGTAACCTTGACATCATTCATGTGAGCTCGTCGTGTTCGGTGAAATCTTTGCTAAGCATAAATCCCTTGACAGCCCAACTTCTAAATCTTTTTCAGAGGAAGAAAGGGATCAGTTGCTGTTACGGAGACAGACGGCGTACCTGCCGCCAACATCTTCCGTCGACCGACTACTTTCGTTGGACGTAATAGAGGTCTACAGGTTTGCAACCAGCTTGCGGGAAATTTATCTGACATATCAGTGTTGTGCCACATTGGCAGGTACAACCACTGTATGGTCTCAAATTGCCTATCCGTCCGAATCGAGAGCCCCTTCAGCATACAGAATATATTTCCCAAAGACACACGTACCCACCTCGATCGAACTGTAAAACCTCGGTGTCTCAGTGAGATTCGAACCTGCTACAGGAAGCGGGCGCTTTAGTACAGCCTTCAGTCTAGCCACATGAACTACGAGGCTCCACCGGAATGCGTGAGTTGAATCACATTTGCGTCAAGTTTACCCGCCCAACCTACTGCAAGGTCTGATATCCACCGAATCTGATACAGTAGGTTGACTGCCTAAGCAGGATTGCCCAATAAATACATTTAGAATTCACCAGATTGCGGCTATCAGGCTCCCATAATTCATGGGTGTTAAGGCAGGTGTGATTAAATTCGCGCCGTCGGATGGGGCCTCGTAGCTCAGGTGGTCAGATCGTTGGCCGTACTAAAGCCACCCTTTGCTGTGTCGTCGGTTTGAATCCTATCGACGACCGAGTTATTCACATTTGGGTCAAAGTGAATTATTTGAAATCTACCGCTGTGTTACACTCATGAACAGTGCCGTCTATGACACGTCACTGCAGGCTTTTCTGTTGATGCCGACGACAAGAAAAATGGAAAAACAATGACTAACCCATTTGGTGTGATTTCTGGTTAAGTCTGAACAGTCAAAAGATGCACCGCGCTAATCAGAAAAGGTTAAAACCCTCGCGGAGCGTCTGCGTTAACAAACTGCATTTTCATTAGGAATTATTTAAATAGATTGGGGTTACGCTTAATGGCAACTATGGAGACTGAACCCACTTATTTTTCAGAAGTATGGCATTCTTAGCAGTGTCATTTTGGTGTGAGGAGAAACACTCGATCGCTGAATCGAGAGACTGTTCACGTGAGATTTTGGATCCCTTTTCGATCAAGGACAGCAACAGATTGAAGTTGTGAACTCACAAAGGGTGACATTTGTATAGACTGCAATTCCTGTGCTACCACGCGCATGTTTAGAATAATAACGTCCGCATGCTCTGCAGCTTTTCGTAATTCGTTTGACGAATGCTGAGTGCCCCTTTTCCTATTGACGCCAGACAGACCCCAATCTAGTCCGCGTGTTGGTCCAGCGCATCTGCCGAGTAGCCGATTTTATGGACACTCCATTGTTCGATGACGTACGAACGCATCAATTGCGCACGCCGCTGATTCTGCCAAGGTCATCCAGGGGCACCTCTACTCGCATTCAGCGTTCGGCCATCTGGCGAAGTCTACGTGCACGGACTGCGATCGATGGCTGCTGCGTCATTTGTCGAGCGTGATCTATTTTACCTCAGCAGACGCGTAGGCGCCTCACGATCTAGGGACAACCAACTCGAGGTGCGCCCCCGATAACTGACTCTCAACCAGGCACGCAGCATGAAGCAGGGCCTTCCCACGTAGATAGTGTAGATACAGATAATCGTATCTCTGGTTGCAACGAATTCACCAACAGGGCAATGCTCGATCAACTGTTTTCATCATGGCCCTTGAAATCACTCATGTGGGCCCGTCATACTCATTGAAGTATTTACTGAGCACAAATCCTAAGATATATTTATGAGAATGACAAATGGATCTGCCGTATAATATGTGGTTCAACCATCGCAGCCGCCGATGTCCACCGTGTGCTAGACAGCGAGATGCAGCAGTCACGGTAACTTGCGCGTGAATTCGTTTATGGTGATTGTAGACTATCCGCAGTAACTACCGCATTCTCTCCTACTCCCCCCACCTGCACCTGCTGTCAAGACAGTGTCAGGAAGACGGGAGGCCGGACCCACAACTAGGCGTGTCACAGCACCCTCTGGTCCTCAATATAAACTTCACCCGCAACAACAACAACAACAACAACAACAACAACAGGAGGCGGACGTACGAGGGTGAGTGGTCAGTCATGCCCGACACCTGTATATTCACAGGCAATGCAAGCGCATCTACTGGCAAGGAACCAGGTGTCAGCGTATACCAGGCTGCGAGGGCCATAGTTTGTTGATACTGCCATAGATCTGTTGACATAGAAGGGCGGCACGTGTCCCTTCAGTTGGCCTGGGCGGGCACTCCTAAATGTTGAGTAACCAAGGAGACGTCGACTGGCAGCCACCACCAATGAAGTGCACACTATCTCCTCGCATGCTTCAGAGTGTCACAGAACGCTTGAGAAGGAGCTATTTCAGCCTGGCTCACAGCGTATTTGTCCGCCACTCCACACACTCGAGAAGACGCCGTGACAGCCTGACTGTCAGTCCATCGGTCAGCCACACCGAAGAACACACACGCACACAACTGGGCAGACTGTGTGGACTGATTTGGGGCGTCAGTCAGCAGCCTTCTGAGCCACAGAGATTAACACGCCCTGATGGACTCAGACAAGAGCCACACACGCAGCAAAAACAGGGCAGCCGCATGGAGAAGTTGGCGAGACGCATGGGATGCGTGAGATGGGGTGGGTGATGTTGACGTGCGCTGCGATTCTGGTGATTTAGGATGAGATGGAGTGGTGCAGCCGGCGGTTATCTACCACCGGTTTTCGTGAACGCGATTGTGGCCAAATAGACGCATGCGGTGAATAAATGTGGAAGTGGAATGTGGACAGTGGTGGCAGGTACGACGGGTGTAGGTCGGTGCTCCAGGCACTGGTTCGTCGCCTCTGTGCGATGGATTTGCAAATGACCGACCAGGCCGATGTGTGAGTTGAAGGTGCGGTCGCAGAGGGGGCAGATGGAGAGCTGGTCCTCTCCTCTGCAGTCGGATGATGTAGGCGTGGTGTCTGTTGTTGTGTCGGGGATGTGTGTGGTGTTGTCCTGCGTGACATTAGCCTGAGCGGCCGTGTTTGGGGCAGTGAAGGAGGAGAAGGGGGAAGAAGAGGAGGAG